AGGGGGGGGGGAAGGGGGATTGAATATGGTTAAAAATCATGACCATATTTGGAATTTTTTCATCCCTCTGATCCCTAAAATACTTGATTACGTGCTCAAAAAGCTTTCTTTGTGTGCAAAATTTCATATATTTGTTCATGTCCAATGTACATGTTATTTCAAATAAAACTATGAATATGCACTCGAATCTTTCAATCTATCTGCTTGTCTGTCTTTCTGTCTATATGACTATCTGTCTATCTGTCTGTCTGTCTATCCGTCTATCTGTATATCTGTCTATCTGTCTGTCTGTCTATCTGTCTTTCTGTCTATCTGTCTATCTGTCTATCCGTCTATCTGTATATCTGTCTATCTGTCTGTCTGTCTATCTGTCTATCTGTCTATATGTCTATCTGTCTATCTGTCTGTCTGTCTATCCGTCTATCTGTCTATCTGTCTATCTATCTATCTATCTATGTATCTATCTATCTATCTATCTATATATAAATTTGGCTTGTCTGTTCGTCTGTCTGTCTGTTTGTATCCAATAAACGTCAAAACGGCTGAACCGATCGGGTCCAAATTTTTTGTGGGACATCACTTGACCACAGGGAAAGTTTATGAATGATAAAAATTTATAAAAAATGTGTTTTAAAGGTTTTTAAGTTTGTAAAAACAAATAAATTCTTGAAAATCCGCGAATTTTTTCTTAAAAATCCGCAAAATTTTTTTCCTCTTTGTTTTTAAATGTAAACAAAAAGAACATGTTCACAATCTAAATAGAAGATGGGCGCGAAGCGCCTTAAAAGTCTAGAAATAAGGGCGCAAAGCGCCTTGAATTTCTAGTATACATATATTTATCTATCTTTCTATCATATAGATCTAATATAATAAGTATGGATTTGAAATTTGTATTGTATCTATCTATCTGTTATGTATCTATCTAAATGAACATATCCATCCCGCTAATCCATTTATCTTTCCTATCTAGACGTCCATATACATTCATTCTTCATATAAACTCTCTCCTATACAGTCTAAATGCACCATGCATTGCACAGCTATAAAGGAATGTGCAATCACATCCCCCCCCCTTCCCAATACCTTTTCCATTGACCCGTGACACCCCATTCAGCAGCTGAGGAGTATCCTTCACTTTATTTACGGTTTTTAATTTTATTGCCTGAATTCATGATACGTGCTCCTTCTCTGTTTATAGTAGAATCGATTCAACAAGGAAAACTTTCTATTTATTGTTAACCCTATTCAGTCTGACGTCTGGTTTATTGTTAACCCTATTCAGTCTGACGTCTGGTTTATTGTTAACNCCCCATTCAGCAGCTGAGGAGTATCCTTCACTTTATTTACGGTTTTTAATTTTATTGCCTGAATTCATGATACGTGCTCCTTCTCTGTTTATAGTAGAATCGATTCAACAAGGAAAACTTTCTATTTATTGTTAACCCTATTCAGTCTGACGTCTGGTTTATCGTTAACTCTATTCAGGCTAACGTCTGGTTTATTGTTAACCCTATTCAGTCTGACGTCTGGTTTATTGTTAACCCTATTCAGGCTAACGTCTGGTTTATTATTAACCCTATTCAGTCTGACGTCTGGTTTATTGTTAACTCTATTCAGTTTGACGTCTGGTTTATTGTTAACCCAAATCAGGCTAACGTCTGGTTTATTGTTAACCCTATGCAGGCTGACGTCTGGTTTATTGTTAACCATATTCAGGCTGACGTCTGGTTTATTGTTAACCCTATTCAGGCTGACGTCTGGTTTACCCGAAATAGTTTGGGGGGTCCTCCCCCTTTTTTCCTTATTGTGATACAAATCCATAACATTTGATACACTTTAGGGAACCCCAACTTGGGCTCTGCTTTAATTGTCTGCCAAAAATATCA